GGGCTGCAGGTTCCTGCGGTGATCTGGGATGGAGCCGAGATGGGGCTGAGGCATCGCGGGCTGAGATCCGGCTCCTCGGGGACCACGCAAGCAGCCGTGGGGGTTGAGGGAAACCAGAGAACGGAGCTCGAGATGAAGGCTGGGATTCGTTTCCCTTTGATATCGACCTCCCCGGGGGAGATGCCCGTAGCTGAGCTACGTGGCCCGGGGGAGCCCCGGGGCTGGTGCTGCCCCTGCCGCACGCTGGGGGGGGGGGGCACTTTTTAGCTCAGGAATGAGCTCTGTGGATAGAGATGGCAGTGGAAAAATACACCCTGAGCACTGGTCAGTGCTGCTCTCACCCGTGGCGAGCATCCCTGCGAAACTCCGCGCGCTCTGGCTGTGGAAGATACAAAACCAAATTAATAACTTTTATTTTTCTTGGCCTCTGCTGGCAGCTGGGGATGCTGGGCTTGGGGGGCAGCTTTCGTGCAGGATGTTCCGCTGTTCCCACCCTCGGCATCGCTTCTCTTCCAGCGAGCAAACGTGCCGCTCGCCGGGGGTGATGTGGACGCGTGGTGAGAGCGGTGGTTTGCATCGGGCGCGGGCAGGGCGCGTGTGCTGGCGCCACAATTGCAGAGGAAGGGGCTGTGGAAAGGTGACCCGACGGCCTTTCCAGAACGGGGAATAAAACCCCTGTGCGTACCCCAGCCGGCCCCTAAATCCGCACGGATGCGAGTTGTGGGATGCTGCCAGGGATGAGCATCGTCCCAGCCTGCTGCGTGGAGGTACTGCCGTCGCCGGTGGGCTCTGGCGCCGGGTGAGGACCATCCCGGTCGTCTTCCCAAAACCTCCCCACGCTCGGAGGAGAAAGTCTGCAACGCCCGTGGCCGCTTCTCCGTCTCATGGATTTTTGTTACATGGCTGTAAAAGAAGCCTCTTGGTGCAGACATCCCTTTGGGATACGGCGGGGATCCTCAGTGAAGCTCTGCAGCCTTGGGACGGGAGGACCCGAGGTTTCATCTGCTCTAGTTTTTATTGAGGACGTTGATTTCTATCAGCTGATGGAGCGATTTCTCCTCCGTGTCCCACGGCTCCCTGGCGACGCGCTGGAGGGCTGCCTTCGCCTGGCTCCTCTGTAATTACCTCCTTTTCCCCTAATTTACCATTATACCTTACGAACTGTGTTTAATTGCAACAGAATAATTACAGGTCATCTCCTAGCGCATCGTTTTAAAGCGCTCAACACCCTGAGCCGGCAGTTTCCATCCTCGGTGCCAACCAGCTGTGCCCAAATGGGTATTTCTGCACCCGCTGACTGCAGAGAGGGACCTTCGGAGCAGATAATGAGCTTTGCTGGGCTGGGAAGGTCACGGCCGCTATCTCATTACTCGCCCTTGTGGCTTCATCCTCTTATCACAATGCATCAGCGTAATAAAAGAAGCCGGTGTGCCGGCTTGGGGCACGGGTTAGTTTTAACTGGCGGGAGCCTTCAGCTTGAAGTTGGGTGTGAAGGCATCAGGGTAGGGTCTGCCCCGTGGGCTTTGTGGCCGTGGGTGGCCACCAACGGGGCTTTTTGGGGTGGGGAGAGGAGATGAGTTGTTTCCACAGACGGAGGTGAAAACACAGCGTGAAACACCCTGGCGATATGCGGTGTGGTCTCGCTTCTCCCCGTGCCCACCCACGGGGTCCATGCCTCACGGGAGGTGGTCTCCATGGGGTTGAGGGGGGAGCGGGGTGGGAGTACAGCTTGGAATTTGCGGGGATGGGACCCTGATGCCTCGAGGAATGGTGAAGCTCCGAGCGGGGTCTGCCTGCTCGTGTGGCGCTGAGGGCGTGCGGAGGGTTTTGCCGCTCTCGCGGTTACCAGTACAGCCTTCATCCCATGGCGACGCGGTGCGGTGTTCCCGGGGGGAATATTCACTGCGCTCGGGCAGGTGGGTGTCTCCTTCCCCCTGGCAGCACCGCTGAGTTGCTTCCCAGCATCGCTGCTGGCCACCACTGGAAATGGAGAGGCTGAGAAGCTGACGCCGTGGGACGAACCCGCGTTCAGAGCTTGCAAACACTTCTCGGCTGAATTATTTCTGGCTAGCGAAACCGTGAGTGATTGCGTCTCGTTAAAGAGCCTTAATGATGCTGAAGAGCGAGCCATGGCGGAGCTCGCCCTCGGGACACTGGTGCATACCCGTCCTAGCGCTGGAAAAAAACCAGCAGGTTTGCAAGAGCGTGTGGTCTGTGGGTATAAATTCATCCTGGCCAGTTTGGTGCTGGGACTGGTGCTGCAGGAACGCGCCTGTGGACGGGGAGCGAGCAGGTTGGGGTGACGGGGATGGAGATAACACAGCCGTCGGGTCAGCGCCTTCCGTGGAAGCAGGAGAGAGCAGAAGTGAATACGAAGCAAAAGCTGTTTAAATATGATGGGTTAGACTGATTATTATTATTTTTTTCCAAAAGACGGACCCAAACTCATTGTGTTTGTCCTTCGTTTATCTGATCCGAGTTTGGTTCCTGCCTCTTCCCGCAACTGGGATGCTTCTTGAGGGACGGGGGTGAGCTCCCGGGGGACGTGGCAGCGTTCAGGACATCACCGAAGGCGCTCCTGCCCACCCCCTGCGTTTTTCTTCCTTACTGCGGGATATTCCTTCCCTCCGCTTCGTGCTTCTTCACCCTAAAATACGAAAACCTGCTGCTTTGTGTCACTTCCCGGGGGATTCCTTTCTGATGGGATTAAAGGAAAAACTTCTTTCCCGGGAGGAGACTGAAACGCTGCTCCCATCCAAAGGAGAGCTTTGATGAAGAACTGATGTATTGGAGATTTTCTTGGAGAAATCCTGGTAAAATCGGGCCAGGTTGTGGAAGCTGAAGCCCCGAACCTGTTCCTTGCCCGGGAGATACCTGAATATCGATTCAGGTGCCACCTGCAGGCAAAAATCAGGGTAAGCTGCCGAGAGCTGAATAAATCACGTGTGAAACCCAAGTAGATGGAAAAAAAAAAAAACCAGAAAATAACCGAGTGGTGGGGATGGTTAGAAGTCTGTTGCGCGTTCAAAACTCTCTGGTTTTAGTCCTTTTGAACAGTTCTGAGTTTTTCAGGCCAGCTTGTATCTAAAGAGGACCTCCCTTGGTAGGGCGATAAGCTGGAGGGAGCTGAAGCACGAGCAATAGTTAATTTGCCTGCACGTCGCCAGCCTGCCTCCGCACTCCTGCCAAATCCCCGTAAAAATGCACATTTTCCGACTTCTAAACCCAAGAAGTTGTTTAGCGTGTCCCCCCTTGCAGAGATTGACGGGAAGGAGGAGGAGCAGCCCCTGCCTCTGCTCGCAGCTTCACGTGGGGCTCATCGCAGAGGAGGGACTCGGTGTTTCGGTCTCATAGAAAAAAATAACCGAAAAATAGAGCTCTGAGGGCTGGCAGTCACGCTCGCCGGGCGATAGACAGACAGCTTGGTCCAGCAAGGGCTACAGAGGGGATGATGCTGAGGGGAGTGGAGCATCTCTCTGCTGAGGAAAGGCTGAGGGACGTGGGGCTGTTCAGTCTGGAGAAGAGAAGACCGATGGGGGATCTTATCAACGCTGATAAATCCTTCAAGGGAGGTGCCGGGGGGATGGGAACAGTCTTTTCCAGTGGTGCCCAGTGACAGGACAAGAGGGAACGGGCACAAACGTGACCATCGGCAGTTCCATCTCCACCTGAGGAGGGCCTTCTCTGCTGTGAGGGCGGCAGAGCAGTGGCACAGGCTGCCCAGAGAGGTGGGGGAGTCTCCCCCTCTGGAGCCATCCCAAACCTGCCTGGAGCTGGGAGCTCCAGAGGGCCCTTCCCACCCTCACCAGTCTGGGATGCTGTGTAATGCCACCGAGGGGTTCTCCTCTCAGCCCGGGTAGCGGTGCATCCCGCAAGGTGCATCCCGTGAGCCCTCCTGCCCTTGTGCCCGGTGCGTCTGTGTGTGTCCCCATGGCTGGTGGCTGCCCAGGGCCCATCGCGGAGAGGAGAGGGCTTTTGGCCGTGGTGAACGTTTTATGGGGGGTCAGGCCCTTTGCTGTCCGTTGGGCTGTGCGGCTCCGGGGAGGAGCTGGGCATCCCTTGGGACAGGGAACTGCTGGAGCGAGTCCAGCGAAGGGCAACCAAGATGACTGAGGGATTGGAGCATCTCCCGTATGAGGAGAGGCTGAGAGCGCTGGGACTCTTCAGCCTGGAGAGGAGAAGGCTGAGGGGAGACCTTATTATGGCATACACGTATCTAAAGGGTGGGCTGAAGGAGGATGGAGCCAGACTCTTCTCGGTGGTTCCCAGGGACAGGACGAGGGGCAGTGGGCACAAGTTGGAACAGAGGAAGTTCCGTTCCAACACACGGAAGAACTTCTTTAGGGTTGGGGTGACAGAGCAGTGGCAGAGGCTGCCCAGGGAGGGGGTGGAGTGCCCTTCTCTGGAGGTTTTCAAGACCCGCCTGGATGCAGTCCTGAGCGATGTGCTCTGGGCAGTCCTGCGTTAGCAGGGGAGTGGGGCTGGATCATCTCTAGAGGTCCCTTCCAACTCTGAAAATTCTGTGATTCTGTGATTCTGTGATCCTCCCTCTCTGCCTCCTTGGAGCAAAGGGCTCCCCGGCTCCTGGGCTTGAGCATCCTCCCCTCTCTGCGGCTGTCACCCTGGGGACTGTCACCTTGGGGGCCGTCGTCCTGTCTGTCTTCCCCTCGTCTGCAGGACCTGGGGGTGGAGGTGGCTGTTGAGATCTCAGGGCACGTGCGAAGGGCTGGGCTTGGCGTGGGTGGTGTGCGCCCAGCCCGGGCTGCCGCGGGGCGGCGATGGGGCCGGGGACAGGAACGGGCTGTGGAAATGGGGCATGGTGGTCCCGGCTGCTGGGGGAGGTGGGACATCATGAAGGCTTCGTGGACTGAGGGCAGTTGCCCGTATTGCGGCCATCTCTTCAAGGTGATTCAGGTTTGGATGGTCAGAGTTGAGCTGTCCTTAACTCAGTGGATACAGGGGATTGCGTGAAGCTCTGGAATTGCGTTTTTTCCAACCAGGCTCCTGCGACAGGAGGCGGGGGAGCGGTGGGGAGTCACCTCTGGAGTCACCGCGTGCCAGCGCTGGCTCCATGACGAGCTCCTGGGCTCGCGAGGGCCGTGCCGGGTGCTGACGTGTCCCTTCCTCCCCCTCCAGGCTTGCCGCGATTTCCTGGACTTAGCCGAAACTCACAGCCGAAAATGGCAGCGGGCGCTGCAGTATGAGCGGGAGCAGCGGATCCGGCTGGAGGAGACCATCGAGCAGTTAGCCAAGCAGCACAACAGCTTGGAGCGAGCCTGCCGCGGAGCCCCCGGCCTGTCCTCCAGCAGCACCGGCATCACCAGCACCGCCAAGGGTGAGCGCCGGCGAGTCGGGCGGCAGGACCGGGGCTGGGTGCCGATAACGGGGGCAGAGCCCCACGGGACGCCCCGGGATGGACGGGGGGCTTTCTGCTTGGTTGCTCCCAGCGAGTCGGCAGGGGTGGGAAGGATGCACAAGGCAATGCCTCATATGCCTGTGGGTTTTTTTTTTTTTATAATTGATCCTATTATGCCATAATTGTCCCTAATTGTCCTTGCTGGGGGACTTGGATGTTCCCAAGATACGGATGCGGCAGAGAGCTGTGTCCCCACCTCGCTCACGTTATTCCAGACTATTTTGGTAGCCTTAACCCTCACCGGCGGGGGGGGTTTTGGGTGGTGGAGGGCATCCGCGGCGCTTGGAGGGAGCCCAGTGTCCCCGGGCACTGCCGAGTTTGCGGCTGCGCAGGGTGCTGGTGGCACGGCTGGGGCTCCTTTGCTCCTTTGCAAGAGTTACTGGGCAATAAAATCTAACAGCTTCGCACATTCCTGCCAAATCTCCTTCCCCGCGGGAGGCATCAGTTACAGCCCGGTAGCCAAAAAACTGCAAAGAATGCCTTGTCTTATTTTTAAAGGATATATGGACTCAAGGGAGAGAGTAGCGGCTGTTGCGGGGGGCGGTGGCAGTGCCAAGCGCTGCGCTCATTCTTGTGTGGCCTTGAGGAAACCGCCTCAAGTTGTGCCAGGGGAGGTTTAGGATGGATATTAGGAATAATTTCTTCAGCAACAGGGTTGTCGAGCACTGGCACAGGCTGCCCAGGGACGTGGTGGAGTCGCCATCCCTGGAGGTGTTTAAAAGATGTGTTGACGTGGCGCTTTGGGACATGGTCTAGTGGGACTTGACCGTGTTCGCTTAATGGTTGGACTCTATCTTAAAGGACTTTTCCAACCTCAGCGATTCTGTGGCGCAGTTGGGGACAGCAGGGGGCAAATCCCTGTAGGGACAGCCACAAATCCGGCCCGACCCCATGGCAAGGGGTGACCCTGCTCCTCTGGCGCAGCATGGGAACACTGCAGGGAAGGAGAGTACCAAACACTGCCGGGAAGCCGAGCCAAGTGCTGAGCCGGACGGGATGCTGTGGAGAGGTGGCCGGAGCCAGGATGGCCCTCCCAGTCCCTCCATCGGCCAGCTGCCCATGGCATCCCCCTCGCCGGAGCACCAGTACAACCAGCGGCCCTGAGAGAGGTGGTCAGCTCTGCCACGTGCCCTGCTCCGTGCGGGCTGCTGGAGCGGCGGTTTTGGGGCCGAGCGGTGACGCCCGCGGCGAGGCTGCGCTCGGGGAGCAGCGCAGGGGCCGGGCAGCCGCACCGGGTCTCAAAAGTCACCGCAATTAATGTCTGCTCCCGCCTTCGTGGCGATCTCTCCCACTGCAGCAGGGAAGAGAAATGTTTGTAGGTGCGGGGCTGGAAATCCCGAGGGCCGGGAAATCTTTCTGAGCATCACCTCAGACGGGGCGGTGCGGGAGCGGCAGCCGCGGTAGACGTGGTTGGGTCTGCGTCTGGCACGGGCAGCCGGGTGGCATTTTTGGAGGTGCTCCCCAGCACGGCATTAAGCCTCGTGTGCCCGGATTGGGGAGCTGGACACGAGCTGCTGGGGCTCCTTCTGTTGGTTTTTTAGGAGCTGGAAGTCAGTCCGGCATCCTCTCGTCGTGGAGCGGGTTGGAGAGGAGGGGGACAAGCTGTAAAGGGAGCGGGCGTTGGTGGGGACACGGTGGGAGGAGGGTGGGCTCTGGGGACCGGCACCACCTGAGCATCTCAAATCCTTTGTGCCACCAGGGAGTGTGCAGTCCGCCAAAGGAGAGGCGAGTGATGAAGATGAAGAGACGGAGTATTTTGATGCCATGGAGGATGCCCCAGCTTTTATCACTGTAACTGCAGACCCCAAGCACCACAGGTACGAGCCCCCGTCCCACCCGTTGCACGGTGCAGCATGGTGAAACCTGCTGGGAGTAGCGGGGCAGAGATGGCTTCCCCGGTGTTGTGCTTAGGCTTGAGGGCAGCATCATCTCCCGTGGGGTTACTCCGTGTGCGTGTCCCCCAGCAAACAGGCTGCTCTCTGCTCTCACATTCCCGGAGCGAGCGAGGCTGAGGATGGCCCCAGCTGTAGTGAAGCAGGCGAGGAAGGGCAGATGTCAAGCCCGTGCTGTGGTAAAGCTGAGTCCTCTGCCCCAGCACTGATGTGGGCTGGATGGGAGCCTGGGTGGAGGCTTGGAGGGACATCCCTTGGAGGGGCATCCCTTGGAAGAACATCCCTTGGAGGGGCATCCCTTGGAGGGGCATCCCTTGGAGGGGCATCCCTTGGAGGGACATCCCTTGGAGCATCGGGCAGTAGCGGGGAGTACCTTGCCTTCATCTCCCTTGACCTGCTCTTACATCTCCTTGGGCGTCTCTCTGGGCTGGGGGCACCTGTGATCTCAACCGTGGTCACAGCGCCGGGCTCGCTGGCAAATGCAGAGGCTCTCAGCGCCCGGGCTGGGACACCCTGCGCTGAGCATCCCCTCCCAACGCCCGCGCACGGCCTCCGTCGCCCTCTTGCCTTCCTGGCAGCACCCTGGGGTGGTGCAGGGAGATGCCCCGGGCGATGGTGGCTGTGCTGCACCAACTGTGGCTCTTCTCTCCCCTTCTCTGCTCTTTCTGTGTGTTTACCAGCTGCTACTCTCTTCCCTGCAGGCGTTCGGGCAGCAACCTGAGTGGGGCCAGCGAGGGCCACCCTGAGGACTGGAACCTGGAGGACAGCGTGAGTTGGTGGGGCAGACTGGGAGGGACGGTCCCGGCGGGATGAAACCAGGGGAGAGGAGCAGGAGAGGAGGAGGTTGTTGGAGGGACTCGCCGTCCAGCAGCCCTGGAGAACAGACCTCTAGTGCACACGATGTCCCCTGAGCTGTGGTTGCTTCTCCTGGATCTGGTTGGATCGTGCTGAGTGAGTCTGGTGTAGACCTACCTACCTACCTACCTTTCTTCTGTTGCTTCCGCAGGTCTTTGAAAGCTCCAATCAAAGCAGCTACAATGAGTCCACTTGCAAAGATCTCCTGCCGAAGAAAAGGAGACGGACTCGCATCCCCGACAAACCCAACTACAGCCTTAACCTCTGGAGCATCATGAAAAACTGCATCGGCAAAGAGCTCTCCAAGATCCCCATGCCTGTAAGTGCGCGTGTCCCAGGCGCCCAGCGCCGGCCCACGGGGTGCTGCCGTCATGCCGGCGTTGAGGGTTTAGTTTGGGCACAGCTCTTGGCTCTGCAAAGGATTTGGATTGGGGCTCCGGGTGCTGTGGTAGCACAGCAGCCCCGAGCGGGACAGGAGTTTGTCCTGGGGGAACGGCTTTTGCACTGGCAGAGCCCTCGGAAGCCATCTCGCTCTTCTCCGCAGCGCTGATGTGTCCTCGCTGCTCAGAACTGCTGACTCTAAGCCCTGCGTTTTTCCCTGCAATTTATTTGCCTCTTGAAATCATCCGTCGGCCGCCAGAGAGCCCGCACAGCGGGGCAGCGGGACCGGGCGAGCAGGAGGGGGCTGTCCTCGGCGGCACGGAGCTGTAGTGCCGGTGGCTTTGACGTGGCTGGTACCGTAGGGACTACTTGAATCAGGTTGGCTCTTTTCTTGGGGACTGACCCCTTCTCCTGCGCTGGCCGCGGAGAGCCCTGGAGCACCCTGGCAGCTTGCTCGCGCGGGTGCCAGCGCAAGCTGGAGCACAGGGGACATCACCCAAGTGTCCTTTGTGAATCCAGCTGGTGCAGAGGAGGGAACCGGGACACCTGCGGAGACAGCAAAGTTACGAACATTACCCTACGTGGAAATAAAGCGTCAGCGTATTAGGAGAACGGCTGGAGATCTGCCCGGCAAAGAAGGACCTGGGGGTGTTGGTCGACAACCTGGTGGCCAAGAAGGCCAATGGCATCCGGGGGGGCATCAAGCAGAGCATGGCCAGCAGGTCTCATCATCCCCATCTGCTCTGCCCTGGGGAGGCCACATCTGGAGCACTGTGTCCAGTTCGGGGCTCCCCGGGTCAAGAAGGACAGGGAACTGCTGGAGAGTGTCCAGCAAAGGGCTACGGAGATGCTGAGGGGACTGGAGCATCTCTCTGCTGAGGAAGGGCTGAGGGACGTGGGGCTGTTCAGTCTGGAGA